AGTCAGGGAACCAGAATGTCTGCTATGAGTTGGTGTTTTCCACATATAACAGGGAAACAACAGTCACAAAATATCAGAAATATCATTGGGGAAATTTCCACAATCACTACCCCTAGGTGAAAAGTGACAGGTAATCAATACTAGAAATAAGCCTCTTTCTGATAAGTTATCCTATCACATGGACATTTAAGCTGCACTAAAAGGACTCAGCAGGATGTGCAAGCATGTTCGTGTGTGTGTGTGTGTGTGTGTGTGTTTTAAGCAATTATACTTAAAAGAAGAGGTCAAGAAATTGAGAGGGAAGGAAAGGAGTAGAGTAGGCGGGAGGAGAGAGATGATAAAATGACATATTCATGAATGACAGATGCATTTTCAAAAAATATCTACAAGTGAACAATATGCAGACAATAAGAGACTGAAATGTGTAGTGCTATTTGGATATCTTTATCACATTATCTCCTGTCAAGGCTCAAGGAACACTGGAAATGAGGTAGAAAGAACATAAGGGGAAAAAAGTAGGTGAATATGAGGAAGCAGTATTTTCCAGACACAACAAAGAAGATGTACATATGGATTAAAAATGGTAGGGAGAGCATGTACAAGGCCTACATGTTCAAGAAAGACCAATTCCAGCACAAGGGGGAAGGTGGGCACAGAATCCCATTGGCTGAAGATCCATTGGCAACCGATGGCTTTTGGTAAAAGGAAAGTATTATTTCTTTCAGAGCATACCACTTGTAGATTAGCCACTCCCCATTGTAATACCACATATCCAAGAATATAAATACAACAGAAATTTGAGTGTATTGGTCCGTTTAAGGAGGAAAAAATGGAAAAGAAAAAGGACACAAAGTGGGGTGAGTTGTAGAAGCAGCATATATCTGAGAGTAGGTAGAGACAGGAAAATATGATTAAAACACATTGTATAAAATTTCAATTGAGTGTAAAAAGGATAATCTCAAAATATTAAAATTATTTTAAATGTCAAATATCAGCAAAAATAAATCACAAATAATATTTACTTGGACCTCATGTGTTAAAATATACTCACTGGAAATAATAAGTCAGGTTGTACAATAAATACTCACAAATTTGTTTAAAGAACTGTATCATAGATAAGTAAATGACTATAAAATAAAACATACAATTAAATGCACAATTAAAAGGAAATTTTTAGATGATTGCTATTAGTCCACTAGACGTAGGTATGATAATACATTCCTCTACTGATGTGTTTAGAATCTAAAATCCGACTCTCCTGATTTTTAGAGGGAAACAAGCCAACTAGACGCCTTTATCATTGCTTTTATGGATGTAAAATATCTCAAATTCCCTGAAAATTAACACACCAGATTCCCACAGTCACACACATGCCATAGTTCTCACTAACTTCAGTTTTACATATTTATCTAAGAAATATTTTATGAATTTAAATACAATGACTTAAGCTAAATTTTCATAAGTAGCTCAAAAATTGTCACAATTTAAAACATCCAAAGTGTTAACTAAAATAGTATAGATAGTTTAATTATTATATATCTAAGTAAAGATATATTTTTTTGGTTTTTTGAGACAGGGTTTCTCTGTATTGTTTTGGAGGCTGTCCTGGAACTCACTCTGTAGAACAGGCTGGCCTCAAACTCACAGAGATCTGCCTGCCTCTGCCTCCCGAGTGCTGAGATTAAAGGCGTGCACCACCAATGCAAAACAAGATATATATTTTTATAATAAAAATTAGTTACTCTCCAACTCATAACATGGGATACTTACAAAAATATTCTACCGATAAATAATGGAATTGTTAGAAATATGATGCATAAATCTATTGAGACCATTTAGTAGAAACACAACATTGCAGTAACAAAAGAAAAGTTGTTACCTTGAGTGGTGGAGTTGATCATAAACTGAAGAAGAAGGGAACAAGAGAAATTCCTAGAGATTTTAAACTTGTTCTGGCTTGATGGAGTTAGTCCTATAAGCAAACTCATTTGTCAATGCCAGTGACTCAAACACTAAATATGTGTGAATTGAACTGATTCCTGAATAAAAATAATTTATCAAATGAGTCCTTAGAAAATGACCATAAAGAAATATGTAAGTTGTTTTAAGATCTCATTGGGTTACTTGAAGTAAGACATTCAAAGCAATCTACCTGGATAGAACGTAAAAATGTAAATCCACAGAAACAAGAAAAAAAGAGTATGTTCAATATAAATCACCCAGTTAGCCAAAGCCCTAGAATTAATAATAAGAGAAAAACTAACATAAAGGAAAGGCTATCATATAAAACTTCAGTACAAATTTTAAACCTGTCACTAATATATCATATAGAATCACTGAGGATAAAAATTCTTAGAGACTAATATATAACACCTGTGGGTGATTTGAAAGAAAATGGCTCTCCTAAGGGCATGGCACTATTAGGAGATGTGGCCTTGTTGAAGTAAATGTGACTTTGTTGGAGGAAATGTGTCACCGAGGAGCTGGGCTTTGAAGTCTCTTTTGCTGAAATTTCCCTCAGTGTGACACTCAGAACTTTTCCATGTTGCCTACACATGGACGACTCCCAGCTACTTCTCCAGAATCATGTCTACCTATATGCTGTTATGTTCCACCATGATGATAATGGACTGAACTTCTGAAACTGTGTGAGTCACTTCAATTAAATGCTTTAATTTTTGTAAGAGTTACTGTGTTCATTGTGTCCCTTCACAGCAATAGAAACCCTAAGACAGAAATTGGTACCAGAGGCTGGAGTATTGCTGTGATAAAACTGACCATGTTTTTGTTTGGAACAATTTGGACTTTGGTACTTTGGATTAGGATGCTTTAAGCACTGCTTAATGGGTCATTGTAGTAGGAGCATGGAAGACTTATTTGAACTGTGGAGGGCTGGTTCCTTTTCCTATGCTTTGCAACAGTAACATATATCCTGTGCCATTATATATTGAAAGTATGTGATCTGATTTATTTATTTTGATTTTATAGAGGATTGCAGTTAAAAGTTTACATGAATCTCAGAAAAAACTTTGAACTTTAGATTTTTTAGCAAGTTTAAGGTGGGTATAGACTATGGGGACTTTTGAAGTTAGAATGAGTACAATTTTGCATTATGATGTGACTACAAGCCCTTGGGGACCAGGGAGTAGAATATGATGGTTAGAAAGAAAATGGTCCCAAAAGGGAGTGGCACTGTTAGGAGGTGTGGTCTTGTTGAAGTAGGTGTGGCCTTGCTGGAGGAAGTGCATTGTTTGTGGAAGTGGGCTTTGATGTATGCTTTGCTCAAGCTTCCCTCAGTGGATGCTCAGTGCTCAGGACATGTCTTTTTTTTTTGAGACAGGGTTTCTCTGTGGCTTTGGAGGCTGTCGTGGAACTAGTTCTTGTAGACCAGGCTGGCCTCGAACTCACAGAGATCCGCCTGCCTCTGCCTCCCAAGTACTGGGATTAAAGGCGGGCGCCATCAACGCCTGGCCGCTCAGGACATTTCTTGTTGCCTGCAACATGTAGGACTATCAACTACTTTTCCAACACCATGTCTGCCTGCATGCTGCCGTGTCCCAACATGATGATAATGGGCTAAACATCTTAAATTATAAGCTATTCACCTGAATTAAATGTTTTCTTTTAAAAGAATTGCCAAGGTCATGGAGTTCCTATAACAACAGAGACCTTAAGTAAAACAATGGCAACACTATTTAAAAAAATTAAAGCTAAGTTTCTTATCTGCAAAAATGCTGTGGAACAATTATTATCTACTCTATAAATATGTACTACTTTCATTGGTTAACAATAAACTGACAGGCTGGTAGTTGGGCAGGAAGTTACATGCTAAAGCCAAACTAAGAATCATGGGAAGAAGGAGTGCAGAATCAGGAATCTCCAGCCATATGCAGAAGAAGCAAGATGAGAATGCAGTACTGAGAAGTCACATGGATAAACATAGATAAGAAATGTTGATATACGTGTAAGAGCTAGTTAGCAGTAAGCCTGAGCTCTAACCAAGCAATTGTAATTAATATAAGCTTCTGTGTGGTAATTTGGGAAGCAGCTGCTGGGTATTTGAAAGTTGCCTGCAGGACAGAAACTTTCACTTACAGAAAATGGTAGAATAGCAGGCATTTGACAAAAATTCAAATCCAGATTAATGTTTAAAGACTTATTGCATATATAGAGAGGAAAATTCAATTTTATTATGTGATTAAATATTTCAAAATTGTTTTGAAAATTCAAGATGATGTCAATCAAATTTAAACAATGTTATTTAAAGGAAGTTGGCAGCCTGAAGTAAACAAAAAACACAATTGTGTTATCTATAACTCAAACAGATTGATTTTTGGAATTCTTAAATTTCCAGCAAACTAATTACAAATGTATGAATTAGAAAAAATTGCATTTGAAAAATTAAAATGATTGGCTCCAAATTTACCTAGGACTGTCTTTTGGAAACCCAAATCATAATAAAAGCAAAGGATGTCAAGAGTATTATGCTGTAATATTTATTAACATTTATCTATGAAAATAAAGTATGACATAATTTGTGAGCATATAAACAAGATGAAAAGCATTGACACAAATGAATATTAGTACAGATTTTTAGAAAAAAACAAGAAAACAAGACAACGGACAGTGTCCCAGAATTCCCTTCTCAGTTACATATCACACAGAATTCAGAGACCACAATCAGTACTTTAAAATGATATGTTACTCCTTGAATACATGAATGATGTGTGTAGGTATTATCACATTAGTTTAATTTTAAGCGATTATTGTAAAATTGTTTTGAGTCAAATGTCAAAGTAATTTAAAAGTTTATTCTAGTATGAATTAAATGAAAGTTTACTAAATATTTTTTGTATTACAGCCTAATGTCTACTTACTAAGTGTGTTTACTTTGCTCTATACTGGTAATTCATATATACACACTTGAACAGAAGTATTGTTCCACAGTAAATGAGACAGGGAGTCAAGAGCATCTTGTGATCTCAGAGCTGGCTACTTACTGACAGGGTTGCATTTAGGTGGAGGAGACCAGCCATTCTCTGTGCATTTAAGTGTGTCTTGACCAGCTGGAAAATGGCAGCCAGGGTAACACTGGGCTCTTACAGACCGGTCCTGTACAGAGTTTTCTTTCTGTTGTAAAAATTATCCATTCTCTATATGGAAATCGCATTGCCCTAAGGGCCTTACGATGATTAATTAAAAACATACAAACATTTCTTTATTCAAAAAACTAAATCAAAACTTACCTTTACAATATTTAAATGCATTTGTGATATTCAAAGTAAAAGCAATAATCAATGAATTAAAAGTGCCATTTTTATAATTTTATATGTAAAATATACATTAAATAAAATCAATCTCAATAGTCCCTATTTTTAATGGTTATTTCATGAAGAATTGCTCACAAAGGACAGAAACTAGTCTTTTTGCTCATAAACTCTTCTGTTGGTCTTATTTTTTTGTCATGAGAAACTTTATTTATTTGATATTCCCTTTCCACTCTATGATACAATTAAACATGTTTTAATATAGATATTGACTTACTAAGGCATGGAACTGCAGGCTCCCACCCTTGTGCAGTGCAGTGGATGTAATCCCTGTCTTTCTCTGTAGGAGTCACAAATCCTGCGTTGCAGTAATAGGTGAACTGCTTTCCTATAGGTACTGAGAAGGAGGGTCTGTGTCTCTCTTCACTATGTAGACCTCCATTTTTTATTTGTGGAAAATCGCAAAGTTTCACTTGCAATAAAAAACAAACAGAAAAACTCTCAGAGATAAACCATTTGATCAGGGAATTACTTTCAATTAATTAAAATAATTATGTGACTAGCCAGTGTCTGAGAGAGGGAGACAAATGGAATTCAGACAACTTTGGTATGTGAGAATGTCTTACCTCATGAAATCAATCTATCACTTACAGCTCACCAGAGAAGTGTGTCAGGGATATTTAATATCCAATATGATAACTGCCTAATTACAGTTTGAATTTAAACAAAAATATAGTGTTATTACACATAGTGAGCTATTGTAACTTCATAGTGAAGTACTATATTGTTCATTGTATTAACAAGTTTATATGAATAGTTTCATTAACCTTTTCTTTTTCATGTTTTTATTAGTACATTATTATCAGAATAGTATTCATTTTTCCATGAAGGATGATTCTGCTATGGAATCTTATCCAGTATGTTAAAAGAATTCCAACAAATTCAGACAAAAGCACACATATTTCCTATTGCTTCCTCATTCATATTTTTTGTTTTAAAGCAGAAAAAAATTCAAGAATATTTTCTAAATTTGGGACATGGTTAATAAATTCGAATTCTTTATATCCTAAGTTTCTTCTTTGACAAATTTAAGAAATATTCTTTTCATTGAGCATCAATAAATTGAATTAGCTCACTGAGATTTCTTTTTAAAGGGTACCAAGAAGAGACATGATTTAAAATGAGAATATCATTATTACTAGAGTAGCTAATCTTCATTCTCATATGGGCACAGATGAATCTCTTTGTCTTTTTTATAGGTAATTCCTTGAAAGAAACCCAATATTCCATCAAGAGAATGACCAGTAGATGTGGTCAGTGCCTAAAGTATCCCTATTTTAATCATACTTTTCCAAGTGCAGGTTGTAGCCCCGTCAGCAGTGATGGTCGGTTCATCATATTGTTGATTCAGGGTATTCACAATGTTGATTAACATATTTACTAATTTTCTAACTGTACTAAATAAGTGCTAGATTAGCTTATGTTATGACACATCCCAGGACTTCTAGTTATTACCTGTAAATTTACTCCTGATACAAATGCAATATGGCACAAAAGATCAATTAGAAGAATATGTTCTAATGAAGATTCATGACTGTTATCCCTCATATTGTTCTGGTTTTGAATTTATACTATATTTTCCTCCAAACAATAAAATATTTGATATAAGAAATTATCAGTTGAATATGTCTGAGGAAAGAACACCACACATTAAGTAGAAAATATTACTAAGTGAAAACATAGAGAAATTAATCATCTTCATCTTATCCAAGAAACCATCAGAAATTGCATTATGAAGAATCCCTTATTCATATATATTCATTCCACAGGTGGTCTGAATATCTTCAGGTGGATCTATGACATAGAAACTCAACCATAATTTTGTTTGAGGCTCACTGCACTATACAGCTTCTACACTTGTAAACATACTCAAAAGCCTATGGCAAATGTGTCATAATTTCTAGGTGAAAAATTAATTTGGCAAGCAAGATAAATTGACATAACACTGAAAAATCCTGTAAATACATGTTTATATTTATAGGCAATCAACAATATCAACATTAATGAGAAAAGGATCTCTTTTTTAGTAAACTATGATTAACTCACAGATTTATTAATAATACAAGGTACTGGGAATAGTGAAATTTGAGTGTTCAGTGTTAAGACAGTAATATCATCCCCTCAAAGGATCAAAGAACATGTAGATGAAGGGGGACAAACACACAAAAAGCTAGAAGGTAGTGATCATGACTGTGATGTATCATCTGGGCTATACACATCGCTTATAATCACAGTCTTACAAACTACAGATGATTGCACTCAGTCTGCACAAGATAAGATTGGCCTTCAGCCTTGAGTCATAAATGGAGTGTTAGTATTCAGGCATCTGTACTAGCCTGTCCTTGGGGTTCTGACAAGATATGCCCTCCCCTGCACTAAGAGCACCACCTGTGTATATTCACTATGTTCCCCTTTAAAGGGGCCCTGCCCACCTCCTATCTTCTCTCTCTCTCTCTCTCTCTCTCTCTCTCTCTCTCTCTCTCTCTCTCTCTCTCTCTCTCTCTCTCTCTCTCTCTCTCTCTCTCTTCCCTCTCTCTTACTTTCCTTCTCTCTGTCTGTTGCTCTCTTTCTCTCTCTCTCTCTGCCCCTCTTTCTTCTCTTCTGTTGCTTCCATCCCTGGAGATTAGTCTTCCTCCTCCCTTCCCCCCCTTTTTTTAATCTTTTCCCCTAATAAAAAAACCCATCTGCTTGAACCCTGTTACATTGCATCTTTCTCTCTCAGGCTGCTTTTCTTAAATTATAATAGTAAGGTCTCAGGGAACCATTTCATGCTCATAGATTCAGGAAAAGGGTGAGTCCAAGCTCTCAGGACTATAACCACCCATTAGTGAGTAAACTAGGTTCCAAAGTTATGCATACATGCTGGTTAAATTAAATACATTGTACATCAAAACTCAAACTTATGAATCTTGAAAAGGACAAACATGGATAGAATTTTGTTGGAACTGGAAGGATGTGAGACAAGGTGAGGAGATATAATATCTAGAATACATCATATACATGGGAGAAATGGTTAAGGAACTAATGTTAAAAATTAAAATATAAAAAATCATTTAATGCTTTCCTCATAAATATCATATATTAATATTCCTTACTGAAAATAGTTTCTTATTCTTTCTACTATATGAATCTGGTATGCTTTCTAAAAACCCATGTCAGTTATAAGCTTTGCTCCTTACTGCTGCTCTTATTGGGAGATGCTGTAAAGTTCAGGAACTGCTGGTCTAGTTGAAGTAACTTAGGTCACTGGGGTATGTCTTTGATGGGACATTGGGATGCTAGTCATCCCTTTCTAGTTGTGTTTCTGGTTGACAGGTGCCATGCAACTTCGCCTTAGCACTCACTCCTTGACATAATCTTCTGTCTGTCACAAGCCTAAAGAGATGAGAGTCAGCAAAACTGTAAACAAATCCTTGTTCTAAGTTATTTACTTCATTAGTATTGAAATAAAATGAGAATGATGACTGTAAAGAAACCCTTGGCCATTTTCATTATATATATAAAATTTATATATGTAAAATATATAGATGTAGATGTACTGACATAAATACTTGCTTAGGCGGTATCAGGCTTAAGTATGATATAAATTTACAACGGACTTCTAGATAGAAAGAAATTAAAATAGGTAAAAACCTGAAAAGAATGAAAAAGTACACCAGAAATAAGAGTACTCTGGACTTAAATGACAGTGTTCCACATGTGTGTTCAGAAGCCACTGAAATTCTTCAAAGCATCTGTCTCCAAAGAGGGAAACATAATTTCCTTCTTCGTGGATGAGTTGGACTCAGACCATGAAGAACTACCGCACCAGAAACAATGGTGTAGTCTTGGCCCCCACTGTCTCTGATCAGTAACTCTGGATAGAGCAAGGTAACTGTCATCAATGAATCTATGCAGAGGCTTATGTGTAGGGAGCTGAGGCCTCTTGTTAAAGCCTTGTGAGTGTAACATGTTGGACATAGGACCTATAGCTCAGCAAAGGCTCCAGATGACTAACAGCTGCTGCAGTCTCTGAGAGCACCACACTGATGCAGAGCTAATATATATTTGCTGTGAAAAAGTAACTTAAAGAAGGTTTACAGGCCAATATTCTTACCCAATGATTTGTTAAAAATCTTTGAAAAAGTTTCTTAAATAGAAAAATGTATATGCACATATACATAAATTTGAATAGAAGTAGATTAAGGAATCTTATCTTTCTAAAATGTACTTTATTTAAAATCTTAAATATTAATATTACTTAAATTTTAATATTAACTAAAATATTGCTTACATTGAAAAGTAGAGTATTTCTAAGAGTTATAGACAAAAAGGTCAAATATTTCCTTGCAAAGTACCTCCTCCATCTGTGCCAGTTGAAAAGCATAATTTTAGTTAAAGTTGTGAATAATACTTACAGCTACATCTTGGAGCAGGGATCCAGCCAGTAGGAGTACATTTTGAAAAAGTGTTTCGGGTTGCAGAATAGAAGCCATGTCTACATCGATATCTGATTTTATCATCAACTCTGTGTTTAATCCTGTGAGGTAAGTAGATACCATTTGGAATAGAAGGAGGTTTGCATGTCATTTCTATAAACAAGCATATATAAGGAAGTATTATTTAATCACATTAATACTAAGAATTTGAAAACTAAATTACAGACATTTTACTTATATATTATTTATTTTTGTGTTATTTACTTGTACTGATAACTGTAAAACTAATATATAATGAGTAAATCTTCACATGTTTGGTATATCAACATAGGCTCCCCTATCTCCTCCTGATATATTGTGCCTTTCTGTTATTAATTCTTCTTTCTTGAGCCCATTACATATTCACAATTCTAAAATGGACAATATCTTCACCATATATAACCTTAACAATTCCTTTTATTTTCTAATTCTTTGGTGGACATTGCTGTTTTTTACTCTTTTTGGGTTTATTTATTAATATTCATGGGTTCTTACTTCCAAATAGTTGTGAAGATGTCGCACCCCTTCCTTTTTGAAGTAAATATGCCCTTTGACTTATGTAGGAAAACTTATTATAATGAAGATGTATATATGTATGTATATGTCACCTTACAGAAAAATATAATGTAATCTTCACTTTTAAAATGAAAAACTAAAAACACAGATATCATAAATAAATCCCAAACCACTTAATCAGTGAATTGATTTTCCATTGATTAAAGTAACTACACAAGGAGACAGAGGGTGTCCTGGGCAGGAAAACAAATATAATTCAGGCACCTATGGCAAATTAGCCAAGTTATTCTTACAGGTCACCAGAGAAGTGAATTAAAGATATTTGTTAATATCCAATATGATAATAGTTTATTCACAATTTAACTGCAACTGAAAAAGATTAATGAATCATATTGAACTATACCCATAGCTTAATGTTGAAGTGCTATATTGTTCATTTTATTAACATATTATATGTAATATTGTTCTTTTCATGCTATTTATAAATAATTAGTATTTTAAATATTTGAACAGTATTAATTTTTCCATGAAATATGATTCTACTTCAAAGAGCCTCACATTTTTTGTTAAAAGAATGCTAGCAAATATGTACAAACACAACAAATTTCTTATATCTTTTTATTTTAATTTTTATTTTCTAAGAGGAAAGTTTCAAGAATTTTCTAAACATTTGGCACATGGTTTATAAATTTAAATTATTTTTATCCTAAGTGTTCACTAGTAACCCTACTAATCATTGAGCATGAAAGTCATTCCATCTTTCAATGTCTTCTTCATCTTCTTTCTTCACTATTTTATGTTTCCATTACACACACTTTTTGCTTTCTTAGTTAGTTAGTGCAATAAACTTCATTTTAATTTGTGAGGCTACTGTGAAAGGTACAATTTTCCTGATTTTGTTTTTGAATGTGTTTCATTTGTATATAGGAAGGCTACTGAATTGTATGTTAATTTCATATCTAATGACTTTGCTCAAAGTGGTTATCAGCTATAGAATTTTTTTAAGAGTCCTGGAATCTCTCAGATAGACAATCATATCATCTGCAAACAAAGATACGTTGACACCTTTCCTTGCTTAAACCTTTTTCATGTCACTTATCAGATTGAGGGTTTGTGCCTTTGTCCACTGAGTCATCTTAGCTAAGGCATCCAGAAGTCTGCAGTCTTTTCTCTGCATAGGGAAGTCTCTTCTTGCTCTGGCTGAAGAGCCAGGGCAGCTTCTGCTGACTTGTTCTCCTTCTGTCTGTGTTGTCATTCCAGGTCTCAGAATCCCATACTTGATGTGTTCCAGCTCCCCTCCCTTCACATCATTTAACTCAAAAGTGCAGCAGTGGAAAATGCCCGACTCTCTGTTAGCGCCTATAAAATTTTAGTTCCTCTTAGTACCTGAATGGCTGAAGCATGATGATCAGGAGTCCAAGGATATTCTCAGCTATATAGTGTGTTCAAGGCCAGTTTTGTAAGCATGGAGCCAATGTCAATGGGAGTAAAATTATAAATCTGTTTGCCTGCACTTATTTGAAGAAGAAGAAAAGAATGCTAGGAAATCCAGCCATTCGGCCATCCTGGAAAATCACTACATATCAAAGACTTTTGAAAGAATTCATGATAAACTCACTAAATTTTACATTTTCTATATCCATTGTGCTCTACCTAATTCATTAACATGTTTATAAAAGTTAATTAATGAATACCTTCTGATAAATACTTAAAATATATGTATTCTTCCCAGTTAGTAATTGTTCACTAATAGTTTATAAAATTAGAAGTTGAAACTCGTGTGAAAAGGTATTAATCTTTAAGATGAATAAATACAACAAATGAAGCACATCTAAGAAAAATGTAATTAATAATATATATATATATATGGTTTTATGTATTGTCCTTGCTAATTTAGTGGCTTAAAAGCAACTTATTTAAACATATCTCTTGGTAACTATTATTAACTTTTCAAAAACCTTCTACACATATTTCTGTTTTATTCCAATATTTGGCATGAAAATCATTAACTGGTTTGCTCTTGTTGGTTTTGTTGCTGTTATTTTAAAACAGGATTTCTCCATATAACTCTGGATGTTCTTGAAATGCTCTGTATAACAGACTGATCTGAAACTCAGAGATCTGCCTGAATTTGCCTTCTGAGAGTGCTGGAATTAAAGTTGCGCACTACCACCCAGCCATTAAGTTTTTTAAGGTCATTTTATTTCTATTTAAAAAAATAATACTTGAACAAATTGACCTTGGCTAATTGTTGATTTTCCAACTATTTTATCCATACATAGTTACCACATAGAGTTTTAAATGAATAAAGAGATGTCCAGACTGTACCCCATACATCTTGTGATACATTGTGTAGTTGGAAAAATCAGTATTTTTAGACATGAAGATGGAGAAATTGTTATAAACTGTTTGGTAAGAGCTTCAATGAAACCACAAGGACATTTGTAAGTTGCATATATCAAAGAAAGAATCGGAGAGTGTGACCAGAGCAGAGGGGGTAATTGCTTGAGGAATGGGCTCCCCCCAAACAAAGAAGTACGAGGGGACTCTGGATCTGAAAATGAAGATACAGATTCTCTCCTAGAACTTCCAGAGGGAACATGATCATGTCAGTCCATGACTATTAACACTCAGAACTACAAAATAAAGCAATGTTATTTTAAGGAATATTTTTGTGGTTTAATTATGATAATACCAATTAAAGTATTTTATAGTTAAACAAAAATATATAATCATTTGAGGAGGAATGTTTTTATGTAACCTTATGGTATCTCGTGCACTTTTTACAAATACAGAATACAAAGACAGTGTTTAAAAGATGGAAAGGGAGCAAACCAAGGAGGGAAAAGTTCTGAAGCTGGCAAAGGATACGCAATAACTGTAATGTTGGCTGATTTAAACTATTTAAGTCAATTTGCACTAGAATATAAAATATCCCCCAAAGAGTTTTTATTTTTATCTATACACATGACGTGTGTTACATACAAACAACCTCATTTTTACTAGGTAAGTGTTTTTCATAGATGTTATAATATTGGCATATGATTTTAACATAACATATGCTAAACTGTAAGGCGATACATTGAATTTTGATGATTTTTTCATTGGGAAGTATTTTTCTAGAGTGTTCACAGAATGGCAGAAATAGTCTTCATTATTTTCATTTCTTTCCAGAAGAAAAAGTATGGGCACTTGTGAGGAGATGTTTTTACCAGATGCTGCAGAACATCTCCCACTTTCATATCCAGTTTCATAGTCATCACCACACTCGTATTCCAGCTTCTAATTCACTTTAAACCATGTGTGCTTCCCTATGTGTCTGGCATTCACAATTACTGGCATATTACAAGGCTCTTAAGATGACATATTTAAAAAGCTGGTTTTCATTTATAATCTAAACTCTAGTATCCATGAAGCAGACAAAACCCTTTAACAATCATGATCTAATGTTTCTTTTAAAAAAGAATTTTATTGGTGATTTTATAAAAATTATTTTATCTATATCTTTTTCATTCATAAGCAAAGTATAAACATTGCTGAGTCAATGTTAAATGTACGATACATAGTTTTTATATATCATTGCATCTGTTACCGAACAAACATATTACACACCAAATAATGCAGCCAATACCATACCTGTTATCTCAGGAGGGAAGCCAGAGAAAATTTATTCTGAAACAGGCAAAAGTTCTCTGAAGAAGGTAAGGAAGGTCCCTGTAACTACAAACAATCACTATAGATAGATGACTCTAGAGAGATAGACCTAAATCTCATTACATTGGGTAAAGTTTTTCTTAACTTCTAAAGCATGTGCTATTTTAGGTTTTAAGTAACTCCCATGATCTATGCGTTAGTCTTGGTCACCAGCCTGTGACTTTACCTAGATAAGATAGAACCTTTTGTAGGGAGAGGTACCTGTGGCTCTGACCAGGCCCAGTTGGTCAGAGGTGCATACGTGGTATGTGGGATAAAGGCCTGGGGAGAGGCAGCTCTCACTCTCTCGGGGTTCTGGCCAGGTCTCAGAGAGAGCTAAGACTGCATGCTCGGAGTGGTGACCCAGAGATACTGGTTTATCATGTAAGTGATGCTTCTTTTCAATAAAATTAATTTACTTCATCCCAATCCTGTGTACCGTAATTTGTGTAGCTACTACCTTTCAAAGGTGGTAGTAGAGAACAGAGGTTTGACTACTGGAAACCTAGGCATGTAGAGAGTGCTGGCCACTGGACCTTTCTTCTCCTTTTGTTCCTGAATGCTTGAGGTGAAGTGTTTATGGACATACACTCTTGCGGCATTGCTTTGCCAAAGTGAAAAGGACAAACATAGACCCAAACCTCTGAAATGTGTGTGAAAACCAATCTTTTCTCCTTTTAAGTTTATGGTCTCAGATATTTTGCTACAGTGAGCAATAACTGACTCTGCTCTGATGTGACATTTATTAACCCTAAAATTTGAATCTGTGGCTGTCAGTTATGGTTTTGTAGCTAGCTGCATTTCTTCACATTATTTATTATTTTAACATAACTCATTTTATTTAAGTATACATTTTTACAAACATCTAGCAGCACCATGCAATGGTGGATTATCATAGCATCA